CTTGGGCGGGCAAGGATAGTGGACAGGCAAGGATAGTTGATGCGCAAAATATACATTGCAACGCTTATTGCAAAGCCTCTCAACTATCAAACGACAACCCGGCCTTCACGTGGTGCCCCCCGTTCCCACCAATCGGGCTCTGTCGACCCTTGGGACTGGCGTCCCCTTGGGTATATCCAGCCGAAACAGCTTCCATGGATCGCCGTAAAACAGTGGCGTCAAATTTCCATGGAAGTCGCCTATACCCACGATGGGTGAAGAGGCGTCAAGTACAAGTAGTACAAGTACAAGATGGGAGCACCCATAACTTCTGAAGGCAAGCCATCCCATTGCTTGATTGGATCTGCTTCTGAAAGGTATACATGGCCCTCCAACCAATAAATTGCAGAAAAAGTTAAAAAGTGGTTAAGAAATTCAGAAGGGTTTTCAAAGGCTCTAAATTTCACAGGTACATTTTGACACCCACCAAAACAGGCTCTCACTGACCAGCTGTGACTCTTGTCTAGCAGAAATGCTATCTGGTTTCTTTGCTCAGAAGTACCTTCGGTGGAAACTTTGCTTTGTAGTGCAACGCTTACATTCAAATCAATCTCACTTTGTATGATATTACAAGTCAATCCCTCCTTGATTTTGTATGATATAAAACGGGGCAGAGAGAAAAAACTCTTGACAGGCTATTAAGTTGTTTTCATCCCATTCTATAACAATTAAAAATATTGTTGGAATTTTTCCTGCTTCTGAGTTTTGACCTGGCCTACGCTAAAGACCAAAAAGAGAAAAATACAGAACCAAATCAACCCACAAATATATTCCAGCCTCAGATATTGGGGCTATTTTAAACAATGTTATTAGTGTCTCCCTTTGAATTTTGGGGAAGTCTATTAGAGGTTAGAGATTATTTTTCTTATACAAAGGACAGGGAGCAATTAATGCAGGATTCCTTAATTACGTGCAATGGAATCCTGTTAGTTTAAAAACTAACTAATTCTATGCTAAATAGAATTCCAATAAGTATTTTTATTTTTCATTATTTAAATTCTAAAAGAAACCTTGGCTAATGCATTTTTGGAAATATTGAGTTTTGAATTAATTTGGATTGGTTTTAATCTGAAAATAAATTTCAATTTCCAGAACCTTTATCGTTTGAGTCCAAAACGAAGATTGCACAGTTTGAAGCCTGTACAATTTGCTTTTCTGCTATTATACCAGTGTTAAGAAAGTGAAAGCTATATCTGCTTTATTTTTAGGTGAGCAAATGATGTACATACTCTTCTTAAGTCAATCTTTTTCCTGGAACTTGGAAACAGAGCAATGATGAGGTTGCATGTAAAATGATACTTCTTGCCTAC